CCACGGTTTAGGAACACATGTACATAATGTATTGTTAAAAGTATTGTTATTGGGAGTCTACACCGAACTACCATTGTCTTTAATATAATAGTCAAGCATTTATATGAGTATCTACATAGTTTGATGCAATAAAGGTTGAAAACCAAGATATTTAAGCTGAGAGGTCCCTTTGCAAACCAAAGTTTGGTTTAAAAGAAAAATGTATCCCAAGCTGTAGGATTATTTAGATTGGCCTAATTTATTAATGAAGAAATTAGGTATTTTTAAATGTAGTCTGCCCACTTACACCACGTAGCCAATGTGTGTTCCAGGTGCAAGTAGTCTACAGTATTATTATATAGGCCTATATGTGATCTCTGACAAACTAATTTTAAGTCTTATATTATTCATTGCCTTTGATCCTATACACCAGATCTTAATTAAAACTAGGTCCTTTGATGTCCAATTGCAATCCGATGCCTTATAACATTTGTGTCTTTTCATTCCTCACAATGGATATTTAATCACGAGTCTGTCATTTTCTTGCTAAAGTTTATTAGACCTGCAACCAGTGAAGTGTGTAGACATTCGCATTTCATTGGCTGTTATTTTTAGATTGTCCAATTATATCTCGTCGTTCTCACTCACACAGCAAACTTCGGTGCATGGTGAAACATACATTGTGTAAGAGCTAAATCTGCCTATTGCAAGTCTTTCTTTAGGCCTGAAATGTTATCTAAATCATTAATTATACATTAATTAACTTATCCAGACCATAATCAACTCTTGATGGCATCGCTAGCCTGCGATCTTAAGTGGATTGTGAGCCGATTTACTGCATAACTTTCCTTCTCGATTAAACGATTAAGTGGATAATCGAGACTATGCTGTTTATCGTACTGACTTTAGTAACGATGACCGAGGCTAGGCAGAAATTTCATTCGCTTAGTTCTCGGTTCATAGTGCATCAATTTGAATGAAATTTTTAGCAAATTGCCTTTACGTTATCTAGTTTTTAATTATTATAGTGAGAACTGCCAACTCCTTATCGAATCTCCCATGATGTATCTTTAAGCTGTATACATAGTGTTTAGTTTAGAATCTGAGAAATTTATTTGAATTTGCAAAATCAGGAAAGATATTATTTAGTTCTGCTTGTTTAACCATTAATCTAGTCTTTTATTAGTTATCCACATCAACGAATAACGATCGTGACGTGAATGATAATGCGTAAATATAGATTCCATCCGGACTTATCTAATTATCATATGTGATATACCTTGAAGTCCCAAATTATTACTTCTATTATACCATTACTACTTTGATGCGCGATTATCCTTTCCTTTATTTATTGTTATTGAGTAACATGCCTCTTCGTTCTACCCCCGCCAACTCACCAATATATTTTTGTTGTGATGCATTATAGGTGATATTTAAAGACGTGTCTCAGTTCCTTGATGAACGTTTTGAATTCTTATGCCAACTGTAAGGTTTTGTACCATTACGCCAAGCTAAATTTAATGTTATCTGGAGACATACATCCAAATCCGGGCACTACTAATTTGTTAAAAATATTGCACTTAAATATGAGAAGTCTGCAGTCAAAACTTGATATGATTAGCACTGAAATGTCTGAATTTGACGTTCTAACTTTTTTCTGAAACCTGATTAACTGGTGCATCAGACGTTGAACTAAGTGGTTATCATAAACCCATACTATGCAATAGGACAGTTGGACCCGGTGGAGGTGTAGCTATTTACATACGCGATTCGCTTTATTTTAACGCTCGACTTGACTTGAACATTGCTGGATTAGAGGCAGTTTGGGTTGAAATAAGAAAAAAAAAAGTATTTATTTGAATGGTTGTTTTATAGATCTCCGACAGCCAATTTCGAATAGTGGAATTTAATCGAACAGAGTATAGAACTTGCTAAAGAACAAAATACTAAAACTATAATTTTAGGTGATTTTAATGTTAATATAATTAATAAATATTCTTCAAGGATTAGTAGTATTATGCGTCGCTTTGATCTAACACAACTTATTAATTCACCAACGCGTATTGTAATACAATATCATTTGGGATCTAAATTTCAATATTGTATTCTGAATTCATATTTTATTTGTAACTCATTTTGGACATATATTAAGTAACAGATTAATTGTAAGTTTTAATCTATATCAGGTGTGGGGAGTTGACATAGTATTATGTAAGATTTAATTGATTGTACAAACGTGTATACTCGGAGTGTCTATATGATATAAGATTTAAGCTTAACACGTATTGACACCTTTTGTCTTGAGCTAAGATGTGTGAATCTTAATAATTACTTTTCATTGTTCTGATTACTAATGGTATTAACTATGGCGTGCCCTAGCCGATATAAAAAAAGCCTAGTTTAAAAGCAGACAGAGAGAAGTACAGAGGAGGGACAAGAGAGACCCGTAGAGGCTGAGAGGCCTCCCTGACCTCGGAAGAGGGTCTGCCCTCGACACCGGGCAGAGCGGTCCTGTGAGGCCGATTACATAATCTTAAGTGGTGCCGTGATTCCTGAACCTGTGGTTGTATCACATACTCTTGTGGCGCCGTAGACCAGACCAACGTTTTCGAAGTTCTAACCACTAGAAAATCAAAGAATTTTATTAAAGGTAAGTCTATTTCTGATCCTAAGCATGGCCAGGGTCAATGATAGTGTGATGTTTAATAATTTAACTGGTGAAATAAGCGGTTTATCTTCCACGCTTAAACATTATGTAGTAACTCAATTAACTCAACCATTTTCTAGTATTAAGAAATATGACCTTTCATCTGTTGTATCTTATTCAAAAATTAAATATATTGCTAGTAGTGGAACAGTAATCAACTATTTGTATGGAAATTACTAAAACAAACATCTATTTTGTTTTACAATGAGTTATGTTGATTTTTTTAAAATAATATGTAAATTATAATTGTTTTGAACACATATTTTGGCTTAAAATTAGTAGTAACTATTAAATGCCTACATTTCGAAGTGAAGTGTTTTATGATTGTTTAATTAACTGGAATCGAGTTAAGAGTATCCTAATTGAGAGATATAACTCATAAACATTCACACGGTATTAACGGTTTTATCTCTTATATTTTTTTGTTTTGTCTATATATATAATTGCCCCGGGTTTTATGTTACGGGAAAAGTTTTATGTGAAATTCCTATAAGGCGGAATTGGTTTCACCCCAGAAGGGTCTTGCTCGGATTTAAGAGCGAATGTGATGTATTGTTTTGTGTTTTGTTTAAAAATTATAGAGATAAAACCACCGTTAATTTTGATAGGTTCTTTCCAAAATATCTTATTTAAGATTAGTTAAATGTGACCTCCTACTTTCAATTTGGTTTATGTCAATTCTAATGTAAATATTTTAAAAAAGTCTGTTCCACTTACTAATTTGATTAAAAGTTAATTGAGTTCACTCCATGATATAATAAGCAGATGATAAAACTTGGGCACGCATGGCAGTTAAAATATTCCAATGACACGACATGTCATTAAGCACCGTTGGCCAGGCGGTATGGAAAGGAAAAAGACTAACCGACAAGAATAATAGCGGCCAATAAATAAACAGAAGGTGACGATACTGAGTATAAAGTATTGAAGAAGATGGTGACGGCTAAAAGCCACAAGCCGCAGTGAGCTTGAGAATGGAGAAATTATCCATTCACCATACCTCGACAAAGCAGAGCATACGAAATATATGCTGACATGATGAAGAATATATGCATACATGGTGGAAAATATAATTATGCCGACATGAAGAAGAATATGCATCCATGGTGGAAAATGTAATTATGCTGACATAAAGGAGAATAGGTGCATACATGGTAGAAAATATATGTTTAAATGGTGGATTCCCTAATTTGGATCGCGTGTGACTGATTATGTTCGTGTATTTTATTTATCATTTATATGACATTCATTTGTGTGACGATTTTTCCGCGTACTGTGTTCCCACGTAGATGTGCCTTTATTCATAGAATATACTGATCTAGGATCTAGGACCAGTGACACTTATACTTTTGTGAATATTTTTAGTTTCGATGTTGTGCTTCTTGTATATAACTTTTGCGACACTATATTTTCCCCGGCGTTACTCCGTAGACTACTGAACATTTTTTTTACCATTGACAATATCTGCTTTTGGATACTTCAATTACTGTATTATGCTTTAATCTTTTATTGTTTTAAAATCGTTTCATATATTATTTTATATATTCCACTATTTTAAAATTGTGGTTAAGGGAGGAATGTAATACAATATCATTTGGGATCTAAATTTCAATATTGTATTCTGAATTCATATTTTATTTTTAAAAAAAACTCATTTTGGACATATATTAAGTGACAGATTATCAGGTGTGGGGAGTTGACATAGTATTATGTAAGATTTAATGGATTGTACAAACGTGTATACTCGGAGTGTCTATATGATATAAGATTTAAGCTTAACACGTGTTGACACCTTTTGTTTTGAGCTAAGATGTGTGAATCTTAATAATTACTTTTCATTGTTTCATAGTTAATGGTATTAACTATGGCGTGCCCTAGCCGATATAAAAATGCCTAGTTTAGAAGCAGACAGAGAGAAGTACAGAGTGGTATCCGAGCTGACAAGACGTGTCTTGATAGCTCTCCATCTACTGGCGTTTATAAAGAGCTATTTATTTAGTGTCCGACAATGGCCATCTCATCTTTTGTATAGATACGACCCAGATACCCTGTAATGGATTAATATCTCAGAGTTGATAATTGTATAAACTATTCGAGTTCTACTGTGACAAGACATTTGAATTCTCAGTGTTGGTGTCAGCCATATTGTCATGGCCGGTCTATGGCCACCGTGATTCACCACCTTTAAACTCTAATTAAGACCACATACAAGCTGTTGAAGTGTTTTATTGACAATGAGTTACATAAAATCGACAAAGATGACAATTAACCCTAATGGGGAGATGAGTGTAACAAAGCGTATAATTATCGACAATACTGTTGAACTGATTCCCGACGATGATAACCCCTCCACTGGTATTGCCTCAGTAGACATATTATATTTCCTACAAGCTAAGGATTTTGACATCAGCAATATAAAATGTCTCCAAAATGTAGGTAAGGGCAAGTTTTGCCTAACTCTTAAGGATATACTTGCCAAGGAGTTATTTCTTGAGAATCTCAAGACCTTCTCAGTGAAGAATTGCAATTATACAGTAGAGTCGGCTGGAAACATCACATGGGACTACCCTGTTGATTCAATTCCTGTTGTGGTCTTCGGCCTACCATTCGAAATGGACAATAATTATCTGGTTAACAAATTGACGAACTATTGTGAATTGGTTAAATGTGACAGATCCTGCTTCAAACCATTTCCAACGGTCGAAAGCGGTGTTAGAATTGTTTATGTAAAAAAAATGTTTAAACCTATTCCATCGCACATTTATATAAAAGGGATACATGTATCAATTAAATATGAGGGCCTAACTAGGGGCAAAATTTGTTACAACTGCGGCCTGCATGGGCATCTTGGCCGTGAATGTACAAAACCAGACAAAAGATATAGTCTGCCAACCAACCCCAATGCACCAAATCCTGATGATCAAATGGAATTTCCTGCCCTTCAACCCCAAACTAGTCCAAACAGTGCTATAGTATCTGCTGATATAGCCACTGAACCCACCCATAATATTGATAATATATTTATGAACCTAATCATGAGCAACTAAATATCAATAACCATGTCTTAGGTTATGACCCTAGTGAAGACAATAACCCTGGTGTCAATAATATTATCCCCTCAAAAAATAATACGACAAAAACAAATGTCTATAATTCTGGTCAAGTCAAACCCGCAAACCCAGGAAGTCTAAACCAGGACTTAGCTACTCTAGACTCCATAAAAACAACAGTAGTCAACAATGACATTCCTATCACTACCGATACAACAAATGTTATCCTCAGCCCTGATAGCCATTTTATCAATGATGTTAATAAGTCTATTATTGATACATCTAGTGGTCATGTTTCTTCCACCCCCATTAACACAGGATTGTCAGTGGGTCAAAGTTATTTAGAGGATAACAGTATCATTGACAACTCATCCCATGATATCCCTGAAACATCGCAGTCAAATCTTAACTATGACGCTGATGTCTCATTGTTAAATAACTCTACAGTCACTAAGTGTGACACAGTAAGTAAAAGGGAAAGAACCATTGATAGTTTATCCGAAACAGAAATAGATGATAAAAGGGCGCGAGCGGAATCCCCGCTTACCGAAACAGAAGTTTAGAGATCAAACAAATTAAGACGTTATAAGTTCTTGAAACCATATTAGTTAACAATGAAGCCTTCTATCCCTATTATTTACCTAATTATTATGTTAATTTACTCCATAAACGCTCTACAAGGAAATCTTCAAAGGATTAAACAAATTAGCAATATATTTAACAAACTAGATATTGTTTGTATACAAGAAATTCTAAAATCCAATGTCCATCAAATAAAAAATGTTGAAAACGAAACTGGCTATAACTTATACACTGCATATAATGAAACAAAGATTGGCATTGCCCTATTATTAAGCCCAAACATTATACATAAACTCTACAATACACCTGATGAATTAGCAGGTAGGCTCCAACATCTGGAGGTAAATGCAAATAATGAAACTATTCAAATATTCAATATATATGGTCCCTGCAAGAGAGAATTGAAAACTTATTACTACAAGAGACTTCTTGAATATGTCAAAACTATTCATAATCCACTACATTCTTATATTATTACTGGTGATTTTAACCTTATTGAAAACAGTAAAGATAACAAACATGGCAACATGAATAACCATCCAAAAGATGCTATAAGATATCTACTTGATATACAAAATCTACTTAATATAAGTGATGGTTACAGAATTATCTCCCCTGACACTCCCCTTTTTACCTATCACAACTCACAAGGACATGCTAGCAGATTAGACCGCATTTACATAAGTAATAAATATGCAACTTACATCAAATCAATTAAACATATACCACTTCATTTCACTGACCATAAAGCAGTGGAACTAAATATCAACCTTAACAATCTTAAATGGGGTAAAGGATATTGGAAACTTAACAATTCTATTCAAGATGATAAAAACTACCAAAATCAAATTAAAACATTCTGGTCAAGCTGGCAAAACAAAAAATACCAAATCATTGACAACATACAATGGTGGGAAAAAGGTAAAGCCGCTATTAGAAATATTACACAAAATTACTGTCAAGCCTTAGCAGTTGAGAACAAACATATCCTCAGTAACCTTTATCAACGACTGGAATCCCTAGAAAATGAAATATCTTGTAAGAATAACTCTATAAACGAGATTAAATCAAAAATTGAGCTTATAGAATATAATACCAAACAAGGCTACGTTATACGTTCAAAATTAGAAATACCCCAAATTGATGTATCTACTAATTCTAAAATATATAAATTAGCAGAAGTTAAAAAGGGTGCAAAAAAACAAATTAAACAACTGATCAATCAAAATAATACAATCTGTGACAATAAACAAGATATATCAGACACAATTCACCAATTCTACCAACAACTATATACTTCTCAAAATATTAATGATAACTTAATGAAGTCCTATATCGAAAACAGTGACATAAACACACTAACAAACACGGAAAGAGATTCAATATCACATTTTATATCTAGAGATGAAGTCCTTAAGGCGTTACAAAAATTTAGAACAAACCGTAGCCCGGGTATAGATGGTATTCCAGGAGATTTCTACATAAAATTCTTTGACATTATAGGAAACGATTTAACAGAAGTATTAAACAACATCTATCTACAGGGGGAATTATCTAACACAATGAGAACTGGTATCATAACAATTAACTACAAGAATAAAGGCGACCATCGATTACTCAAGAACTATAGACCGATAAGCCTGTTATGTGTGGACTATAAAATCATAACAAAAATTCTAAGCACAAGAATAAATTCTGTTATTAACAAATTAATCTCTAATACACAAACAGGAGCTGGACCAAAAAAAAGCATTTTTGATAACCTATATTCAATAGATACAATACTAAATTATATAAACACAAATGAGTCCAGTGCCCATATATTATCATTTGACCAAGAAAAAGCCTTCGATCGCATTGAACACAACTATATCATAAATCTACTTAAACATATTAATTTCCCAAATTACATCCTTAACTGGGTTACAATATTGTTTAAAAACTTGATTAGTAAAGTCCAAGTAAATGGATCCTTTTCCCAAAATATTAAAATTAACCGATCGATTCGTCAAGGATGTCCACTATCCATGATTCTATACTCATTGTGTATCAACCCCCTTGCTTCATACATAAACAAAAACATCCTCATAAAAGGCATCAGGATCCCTAACCACCCTTCAGAGATTAAGTTATTTCAGCATGCAGATGACTGTTCTGCTATAATATCTAGACTTTCTTCATACAGCACCCTCCTCGAACAATTCAAAACATTTGGCTCTATATCTGGCTCCAAACTAAACCATGATAAAACTGAAATCCTTTCTGTTGGAAAACCATCACACTACTCCTATCCTGTAAATATAAATATTAATATTAAAACAGACGCTATAAAATTACTAGGCATTTGGTTTGGCTCAAATAAAATGGAAAAGAACTGGCTACCCCTTGTTCAAATAATCAATTCAACCATCCAGATATGGGAAAAAGACTCTCTTTCATATAAAGAAAAAGTATGCATCTTAAACACCTATATACTCAGCAAACTATGGTTTGTTGCTAGGATAGTTCCTCCCTCAAACTCAATTATTAAAAACATAAATAAAATAATCTACAATTTCATCTGGGAAAATAAAAGTGAAACAATTAATCGAAACACCTTGAACCTAGAGCATAAAAATGGTGGCCTTAAAGTGCCAAACATTCGACTAAAAATCCAGGCAATGCAACAACAACTTATAGTAAAAGCAATCAAAGACAACAACAGTCCCTGGTTAGGCCTATACATATACTGGCTAGGATTTACTACAAGGGATACTCTGCCAAGATATGCATCAAATAATTATACCCACTCGGAAAAACTCCCCCAATCATATATAGATATAAAAGAAACTTACAATAGCCTCAAATCATCCATCAAATATACATACAATACAAAACTTAAAGACATATACTGGTCCCTAATTGACTTATTACAGACACAACCAAAAATAAATAAACAATTACCTCATGTTGACTTTTCAAAAGTCTGGACAAACCTCTATAAATGCTCCTCCTTATCTGAAAAAGAAAAGGATTTCATGTATACAATCATCAATAATGCAGTACTAACAAAAGATATTATGCTATACAGAAATATATATATACTATCAACTATAAATGCCACTATTGTAACCAAGCAACTGAATCTTACCATCATTTATTTCTGAATTGCCCCAAACTATTCGAGTTCTACTGTGACAAGACATTTGAATTCTCAGTGTTGGTGTCAGCCATATTGTCATGGCCGGTCTATGGCCACCGTGATTCACCACCTTTAAACTCTAATTAAGACCACGTACAAGCTGTTGAAGTGTTTTATTGACAATGAGTTACATAAAATCGACAAAGATGACAATTAACCCTAATGGGGAGATGAGTGTAATCTCAAGACCTTCTCAGTGAAGAATTGCAATTATACAGTAGAGTCGGCTGGAAACATCACATGGGACTACCCTGTTGATTCAATTCCTGTTGCGGTCTTCGGCCTACCATTCGAAATGGACAATAATTATCTGGTTAACAAATTGACGAACTATTGTGAATTGGTTAAATGTGACAGATCCTGCTTCAAACCATTTCCAACGGTCGAAAGCGGTGTTAGAATTGTTTATGTAAAAAAAATGTTTAAACCTATTCCATCGCACATTTATATAAAAGGGATACATGTATCCATTAAATATGAGGGCCAAACTAGGGGCAAAATTTGTTACAACTGCGGCCTGCATGGGCATCTTGGCCGTGATGGAACAAAACCAGACAAAAGATATAGTCTGCCAACCAACCCCAATGCACCAAATCCTGATGATCAAATGGAATTTCCTGCCCTTCAACCCCAAACTAGTCCAAACAGTGCTATAGTACATGTATCTGCTGATATAGCCACTGAACCCACCCATAATATTGATAATATATTTATGAACCTAATCATGAGCACCTAAATATCAATAACCATGTCTTAGGTTATGACCCTAGTGAAGACAATAACCCTGGTGTCAATAATATTATCCCCTCAAAAAATAATACGACAAAAACAAATGTCTATAATTCTGGTCAAGTCAAACCCACAAACCCAGGAAGTCTAAGCCAGGACTTAGCTACTCTAGACTCCATAAAAACAACAGTAGTCAACAATGACATTCCTATCACTACCGATACAACAAATGTTATCCTCAGCCCTGATAGCCATTTTATCAATGATGTTAATAAGTCTATTATTGATACATCTAGTGGTCATGTTTCTTCCACCCCCATTAACACAGGATCCTCAGTGGGTCAAAGTTATTTAGAGGATAACAGTATCATTGACAACTCATCCCATGATATCCCTGAAACATCGCAGTCAAATCTTAACTATGACGCTGATGTCTCATTGTTAAATAACTCTACAGTCACTAAGTGTGACACAGTAAGTAAAAGGGAAAGAAGCCTTGATAGTTTATCCGAAACAGAAATAGATGATAAAAGGGCGCGAGCGGAATCCCCGCTTACCGAAACAGATGTTTAGAGATCAAACAAATTAAGACGTTATAAGTTCTTGAAACCATATTAGTTAACAATGAAGCCTTCTATCCCTATTATTTACCTAATTATTATGTTAATTTACTCCATAAACGCTCTACAAGGAAATCTTCAAAAGATTAAACAAATTAGCAATATATTTAACAAACTAGATATTGTTTGTATACAAGAAATTCTAAAATCCAATGTCCATCAAATAAAAAATGTTGAAAACGAAACTGGCTATAACTTATACACTGCATATAATGAAACAAAGATTGGCATTGCCCTATTATTAAGCCCAAACATTATACATAAACTCTACAATACACCTGATGAATTAGCAGGTAGGCTCCAACATCTGGGGGTAAATGCAAATAATGAAACTATTCAAATATAGTCTTTTAACAGCATCTGATGTATCACTTAAAGTTAAAGCGGAAAACTTGCGACAGTTTAACAAACTATGTGATGTTGAAGGGCCACAGAATAAACATGGTGACTTCCTTGCTAAAGCAGTTGTCACTTGAATACTGGAATCATAAACCTTTCGTGCTGCAGGCTGTTTATTTTGACTATTATTCTGACTGTAAGAAGAAATTGGTCTACTCTGATATCCAAGTCCACTCACACGTGGGTCGTTTTCACTTCTAGATATAAAGCCCACAAAGCTTTCAAAGTCAGATAGATTAGGTGACCGACTCTGGGTTTCACGTAATTTACCAACTTGTGAAATTCACTTCTGTTGAAGAGCTGTTGGTAATTTTGAACAAAAAAGATCTAATAAAGTCAAAATCGTCCATACAATTCATATCACTATTATTTTCTTTAGAGTTAACACAGTGGTTAAGAAAAATAGAAAATTTTCTTAGTCCTGCTTTATCACCGGAACTAATTCGAGGCCACTGTTCAATTTGTTTCATAAATGCTGCTGCTATTATTGGGGGGTCACCGTAGTCGCGAATAAGCAAGGTCTTTGCACGTTCACAGGCCTTTTGTGGGGGATCGATTAAAGGACAATATTGAATTAAATCGTGCGCTTCCCCTCTCGTATATTTCAGCAGAAATTCAAGTCTTCTAGTTGGATCCTTCGTATTTCGTTCCACAACTAACTCAAAGTTTCTTTTAAAGGTTTGAAATAATAAAATGTCAGACCCATCGAAATATTTAATTTCATGATTGGGTAACACTTGATCACGTTGATTTTCTACAAGTCTATTGAAAACAGACATTACATCAGTATTGTTACACGTAAATGATTGTGTTTCTTTCACGTCAGGACCTGTCAATGTCACTGGAGGTACGAATGCTTTAGATGAATTAGTTTCTTTCGCGACAGGACTTGCTGATGTCACTGGAGGTTTAAATGTTACTTCCGGGTCTGATTCTTCTTCTAAAACCCGATTCATTTCACGCACTGCATGTAGTTTTGCACGTAACGACACTTCCTTCTGTTTTCTCTGCAGTTCTTCAGTGCGCCTTTGTAGTTTAAGTTTTTCTTCTTCAATTTCGTTGATTTCATGTAAGGCTTCTACATGTAGCTCAAGTTTTAATTCTATTTCTTTCTGCTTATTTTTAAGTCTTATACTTGAAGTCGTTGAACGGTTCGAAACATGAGACACACTATCCTCTGGGTTCACTGTCGGCTCATTGTTCACACTGTTTTCGGACGCCTCGGGTAAATTCTCATTCTCCTCTAAATTCACTATTGGTTCATTATTCACATTGTTCACATTATCTGTATTCACATTGTCGTTGACATTGTCATTAACCACATCTCCGGCCCCGTATGGGTTGCCATTTTCAAGTTCTGACATATTTGTATCATGTATTGTATTTGCTAATAACGTTAAATGTACATCACGTGTTATCTGGGTAATACATTTTGACCACTGTGTAAAGCTTGTCAACAAAAGGAACAAAACAAGAGTCAAAAAATGACTTACTATTTTCATAGCTTGAAATATTTTCACAGTGTCTATAAACTGTTCACATAGTTTCAGTGTCTCTAATTTTCAGTGTTCACTGTTCACTCATAATACGTTTTTCACTAGAGAATGTTGTGAGTGAGAGAAGATGCTGACCCTCTCCACGCGACGTGCCGTACGGGGTGGGCTGGCAAACTAAGTTGACAAGACAATGGTCAACACTTGAATCTAGGGACAACACTTGAAATGATAAGGCCTTGCAATGTTAATGAATATTTATGTAAATAAATATCATATACCGAAAAAAATAGTTACAGCACAAAACATTTATGTAAACAAGCTGACAGTTTTCCTTGTTGACACACAGAGTTCATGATTCACAGAGTTCATGGTTCACAGAGTTCACTGTTCACAAAGTTCATGGTTCACAGAGTTCATGGGTCACAGAGTTCACGGATGAGAGTTCACGGTTCACGGAGATCCGCCATGTTTAAGAACATGCGGTTTCACGATAAGAAAGTTCACCTTCCCGGAGGAATTACAAAATCAGTCACGGTTGTCACCCCATGATACGAACATATATAGTTTCTATGTTCATTCACACACAGTTCACCATTCTTTGGTCGTATATAACAATCGTCCTAAACATAGTTACCAAACTCCCACCGCGATGCGGTGAAAAACGGTATCAACACACGCCATCACTCACAACCTCATAACGAGGCCAGAGGAAGTTAAACAGTCAAGATCACAAAGTCTCTTTCACACAAACGAATAACAACACTACAGACACGATCAACCAGTCACTTAACACTAAAGGGCAAACGACTTAACACACACAACATATAAACAATATTTTGGACATTACAATCTTTCACCAAATATGTACTCTTACAAAATAGAATTTTTGATGATATATATTGCTGTTCGTATAATCTATTAGATCTATGTTATTATGGCTCAGTATTTATTATATATTTATAGCACTAGGCCTAGCTAGGCCTAGCACTCGACGATAACTCGTATCGTATTCGTAGCGACATAGACTGAGTACTTTTTCTTCAGAAATGCTGATTTTTTTTTTAATCCCTCAATAGTCCCTAAAATTAAAACACCCGGCATAGGACCTACTCTTGGTACCATATCCACCACTCGGATGTTTACATTTTCTTCTGTTCAACTGCGAAACGTCTTCTTTAGCCGCCATGTTGAGTGACATTACAAACAAACCCCAAGATACTTTTTATGCAAATTAAGCAGTCGCCACTCTGTGTATTTTTACTCTGTGCGGATAAGCAGTTTTGACGTTCACGTCCACACGACTAAATATTTTGAGCTGATATTTTGGGACAAGGTAAATACACCACTCTTCTATATTTTGCTGCTTAAATTTCATACGTACTCGAATTTTTATTTTTTGAGACTCTGTTCAAATCGGGATAGTCCCTTTAAACTTAATCCCCACACGTTCCTTATAAAGAGGGTTCGTGCATGAGTCATGTACGTCCCCCGGGAAATTGGCCAGGCGCTTCCTTTGTCTAATTGGGCAGTTGCACAGAAGCTACCTTGGATTTGAACACGATGGTCTATTATGGGCACCAAGGAGGAGAAGCGGCGGATGACGGGTGTCCACTTTTCTAAAGCGTGAAATTCAGTATTTGGATAAGTGTTTATTTAACCGTATGTTTATAAAAAAAATGAGCTAATTTGTACTCCAGAGACCTCCGATCTGATGTCTTATCATAACGTCAATTTAGCACCTCAAGATAAATGGTGGCGGTGTTTAACCATGGACCGTGTATAGATGGACAGACAACGCCCACGAAGTCTTTAGAATTCTGTGCCGCGGCAAAAGAGGGACCTGACAATCGTGACTAAAATAAAATTACCTCCCCTCGCGCAATTACCAGTATTATGTTTAATAAGCAAAGAAACAGAAACCAAGTCATAATATTTCTTATTAATCTTGCCACTCTTTTTTTTAAACCCATACATAGATAGACTACTAACTGATGATTGGGGTGTAAATGTATCAAAACATCGTCTTTGTTTACTTCGGACGCGCCCATGTGAATCCGATAAAAAACATGACGAGTTTTCGTTAAAAACAAACCTACTAAAACACTATTTTAATTTTTACTTCTGCATAATTAATCACCGTTCCGGACAGCATTATACCTGAACTTTATTTTCATAATTTTAAAATCTTTCATACATACGGGAATTTGGAGTATTAAGCAAAACCAAAATGCTTACAAAAACTACGAAAATATTGAAATCGATAATTTCAAAATTTTCAACTGCTGCATTTGGACATTTCAAAGTTTCAAACTGGACAAATTCGTCACTACCGGATAGGAATACTTATCGGGTTGAAAAACTACCGTGTAACTATAAGAATGCCGTAAATTCCAAGGAGGAGTTCGAGAAATTAATCTGTATAAAATCCCTCAATGTCAAAATTCACTTCGCTTGATTTGCCGTTGACATTGAGATCTCGCCGTGTCTCGCGCGAGCGGCAGAGAATCCAACCAACGGGACTCGTTGCCTGTCCATCTATACACGGTCCATGGTTTAACCGCTTCAATATATTAAAGGGCCAATCCCGATAATATTTTGGAGAATAAAACTGCTTAATTTTGTGTTAAAACTCCTTAATATCCCGTACCTAAGGGCCGACCAACTAATTCAATATTTGTGATATGTTTTCAAACAACTTACACCCGTCAGTCTTCATCTGGAAATGGAGACCGGTGTCTCAAGCTGTATTATTATAGGGTGACCCATGTACTCACAGAAATACAGTCCACCGCTGATAGTTCGAGACTACCACTGAAGCGTGCACATTCGCCGTGCAGAGACCAACTTTCTGACAGTATGATACTATAAATAGCCATGGCACGTGCAATCCTCTACAAATCTATCAACTATTACAGCCGTAAAAAATCTATTGTTGACGATTTTGAATAGCAGTAAAATTAAGCTTCTTGGTTATTACAGCAGATTTAGAAATTACGTTCGTTTCATTTTTTAAATCGCTTTATCATTAACTGTACCGTTAAGAGCGGCATCTTTTGGTTTAGTACAAATAATATCTCTGAATCACTCGGGTTAGACAGGAACATGATACTAGCAGTAGTTTCATTTTACTTTTACAAGCTTCTTAAAACGATTGTTGAGCTACCTAACGTGCTTATTTCTAAATTCAATTTCTTGTTCTAGCTTTCTGTTATGTTTCGTAAAAAAGTAGTCTTGATTATCCCGACCTGTCAATCAGACGTAGAATGGTCGATAGACTGGTTACGCGAGACTAATTTCAAAACAAGGGCACGTAACCTATCTTTTACTCAAAAGTGTCTGGATGTTATGGTCGACTCTTGGAACCAGTTTTCAGTCTATTATTTATACATGATTAATGGTCATAGCTTATTAAGTACAACATGATCGTTTATTTAGTGACTATAATTGTGTGAAACTGATTTGAGGCTTGGCATATATATAAATATTGTGGCGTGATTGTCGAGATATATGGAGATATTTATTTATGGTGGGTCACCCTAATTATTAAGCCATGTCTGGATAAAACCAGACTTTTATTTTATAAAAACAATGTGTAGGTGAAATTTACCTTTCGTTATCCAGTAAGGCACATGGGTCATTCACTGTATAGACCTCTAAAGGAACGGCGATAGATTATCAGGTCACCCAACGAAAAAATTGACCCGAAATCTTAAAAGTGTCCGGATAAGCATTTTTGACGTTAACGTCCAAACAACTCAATATTTTGAGCTGAAATTTCGAGGAAGGGTAAATACGCCATTCCTCTATATTTTGGCGCTTAAATTTCATACGAACTCGGACTTTTATTTTTGAGACTCTGTTCAAATCGGGATAGTTCTTTTAAACAAAACTGAACTTTAGTGTATACAGTATTACACGAGCTTGTGTAACATATCCAATTATAAGTTGCCCAAAATTGACTTATGAATACCAGTTGATTTGCAGTGGGGTAATACAGTTCAGAATCTATAATAATTAAAAAGACAGTATAATCAAATACTATAAAGTTGTATAAATAGAAGTAAAAATAACCCTATAGCCTATAGATCAAAAGCTTGTCAAAAAAACAATGTGATTTACAACTCGATAAAGAGGTAGATCTTCTGAGGGCAAATGGAAGCTTATTCCATACTTTTAAGGCCTGTACTATAAATGATCGTTCACCGTAAGTTTTCAGTCTAGCTGTGTTGCAGACACTTGATCAGTGATCATTCGATGACCTCAATGTACGGATAGGGATATAAGTATCTACAGGAGATGATGTATAACGGTGCCATATGATTTATACATTTAACAGTTAAAAAAATGAATTCTAAAAACAATAGGTAACCAGTGATGGTGTATTAAAGCATGTGTGATATAATCATGATATTTACCTCCGGTAAAGAGTCGCACAGCCGCGTTGTGAACCTTTTGTAATGTTTCCATTAGACGAGATGGTAAACTAATGGGTAATGAATTACAGTTGTCTAATCGTGATGTGACATACCCCTGAACAACAGTTTTACCAATTTTCCCAAATTGAAAATACCAGGATCTGCAGATATTGCTAAATTGTTTCTCCATGGATGGTGCACAGTCACACATAACACCAATGTTATAGGGTGAAGATGTGGGTATCATTTCATTCTCACCGACTAAGATTGAAACACTTTTATCACGTTTGGACACTAAACTTTCCAAAAAGAACATATTTCGTCTTTTCCTTGTTCAATTTGAGAAAATTGAGTTTCATCCATGTATGGATGTCACTAATACACCTTAGTGTATAAACGACAGATACAATTAAGTGTCACCCGTGTAAAGTTGGAACTGTAGACCATGTTTCTCAAATATTTTGGACAATGGGGCGGTGTAGATGGTAAATAAAATTGGGCCTAAAACTGAGACTTGGGGCACAAAGAAGTTCAAATCTTTTTGTCAGATTGTTTGTCATCATAATGACAGACAGCTAAACCCGTTAACCCAAATTCACATTGTGGTCAACAGTATCAAATACTGCTGGGAGTTCTAAAAGCAACAGTAACACACAGCTTTGATTACCAATGAACTAAAGAATGCCATCTTGTACTTTTATCAATGCAGTTTCTGTACTGTGATATTGGCGTTGCCGAGAAGGCTTAATTCAGATATATAACGAATCAATTCTTTTTCGATGCATCTCACTAGAACTTTAAAAACCAAACTTAGATTGAATACTGGTCTATAGTTCTTGACATGGTTTGGATCAAGCGAGGGTTTCTTACTGAGAGGGAAAACATTGGCATGTTTGTAAACATCCGGGAATTTTCCGGATCTAAACGAAGAGTTTATAATGTCACAAAGCATCGGGAGCTGATCATTCAAGGCACATGATTTTGTTGCCATCGATTTGATGACCCAAGAAATGTCGTCCTGGAACAATGATTCAAATCTGCCCAGACTACTCGAAGTGTTACTTTCATAGCCATGAACGGCATCATTATCAGTAAAATTATTCCTAATATTAAGAATGTTACTTTCAAAATATTCAGGGAATGGAGTTGGCAAGTTCAAAGTATTAAAATGTGATCAAGAAGAGAATTAACAACCTAACAACCCTGTAATGTTCTTTAGAATTATTGCTAGTTTCTATGGATACATACGAAGATTTTGAGAGTTTTCAATAAGGCGCGTAA